TCAAATGGGAAATACTACTGATTCCCAATGGCAAAATAGTACGTCAATCTAGCTATAAGGCCAGCTCAAGAACTTCTTGCTATTCTCCATCCTCACAAGCTCTGAATTTGTTAAGATCTTTTTATTCCTTATCTTTCTTTCTTTCTTTCTTTCCTTTTTGGTTATGTTTTCCTAATGTTTTCTTCCCCATAAATAATGTGAAGCTAGTGAGGCGTCAAGCCCACGTCAAATATTCAGTTGATCAATTTCATCCTTATTTGGTTCAATTCTTGTTTCGCAAATATGGACAAAGGGTATTTCTAGTTGTGTTACGCGGGATTGTATTTGTTACATGTATTGATATGCACTTGCATTATGTAGTTGTACATGTAAAATTACTTATTCTTTTCGTAAAGTTTGTTTGTGTACATCAACAAATCTTAAAATTTTAAGGACTACATTGATGACAAAAAATCATTAAGGACGAAATCGATTTTAGTAAAAAGGTTTAGGAATGAAAATGGTAAAATTCCCAATTGGTTTCAAAAACCTGATTTCTTGCCTTGAAAAGGATAGGTCAAATGCTGCAACACAAAATATAAGAATTTAATAGGTCTTTAAATTGGTCAAAACTAGACAAAATGGAAGTTGAGGGGGTTAAGTGCAATTTATTCTAATAGAAAAACTTGTTCCAAATTCTTAAAGTTGCAAATTGATTTTAAACTCTATGGCTATTCTTTGTTCTCCTGTTTTTCTTCTACACGCTTTATATTATGAAATTGACGGGTCTAATATTTTGTACAGTAATTGTGCAATCTCAACCTCATGTTGTTTAGCAATGCTAATACTGAAAGAGGGCAAAAAAAAGTATTGACTGTGTTAAAGGAGTTGATTTAATTCTTGAAGCTTCTAATATATTTATTACTCTTTTAGTTAGTACCAAAAGTTTTTGTCAAATCAATAAATTTGGTAGTCCCTCGTTCCAGCATTTGTGATGTTTTCTGGGAAACTAAACTTTTTAAGGCAACATATAACCATCGTTTCTCAATGAAAGTACACTTGAATGAATTTACAGTTGTGTACTGGCATTCAAATTCTCAAATTCTAATACTATGAGAAATGTATTGCTAAGTGGGAGGAGTTATTTTTTCCAATGACCAAATGTAAAAAATGAATAAATATTGGTTTGACTTTAAAAAAAAAAAAACTCCTTATTTTAAAGGGTTTGTCCATTCTATGACTAATAGGAGATAGGCTTGATTTTTAGTTGTATGTAAGTAAATTTTTTTTAAAAAAAATTTCTAAATTAGAAGGTGAAAGATAATGTTTGAAATTTTCGTAAGTCCACTCTCTTTTTTTTTTTTTTTTTTTTTTGCACAGAATAGTGCTTATAAGATCAGAGAATTTAAGGGAAAAAAAAACCTATTTTAAAAAGTGAAAATATGCAAAAAGTAGAAACATGAAATTGATACCTCAATTTAGTAAAGGGAAGCTCTATACAATATTTCTTTTGCTCCAAAACTAATGTAAGACCAATAACTCAAACTCATGAACCTGTCACTACAACGGTCTCTCATCGAAATTCTTGTGTAGGCTTTTGCATTGAAAATGATTGATACATCATTAGTACCTAATTTACGTTTGGAAGAACTGAGAGCCTTGTATGGATCCGCCTTTGGGTTCCTACCTAGCCCAGTTGGAGGCCGTATTTAGATTTGAACTCCTGTGATTCGAGATTGTATATGAAATAAAGGCACTCTTTAGCTTGAAATTGATGAATAAGATCAGGTCTTACTTTCCCTTTGCTATGAGGGCTTAGCAGGGTTCTTCTTGCTCTGGTTTACCATGGTAATGCTGCTAGTCAGTCCTCAAGTAACAATAATGAGTCCATTCAGAAGGTGTGTCTTTTGGGTATTTGTATAAAATTTTACTATAATTTATTATAGAATCAATAGAAAATTTTTTGTATATTTGAGAGTTGGGAAAACAAAATTTCTTTTTCGTTTTCATTTCCTTTTCTTTTTCTTTTTCTTTTTCCTTTCCTTTTCTATTTTGCTTTCTTCTTCCTCCCTCCTTTTCCCATCCTCACTTGGGATTCTCGGTTACATGTTTTCTATGCCAATCCAATGCCACCTCTAGCATTGTGCCAAGTATCCTGTTATTATTTGCACTTTAATTTTCTAATAATTCAACTTACTTTGATTTAACACAAGTTTTTTCTACCCTCTAAAACTTTGAACCAAAATTAACTGACCGGTCTAATTCATCCACCAATACTTTCATCATTGATGTACACAGCAGCCTCTGCATTTCCATTATCCTAACACCAACTGAGCCCAATAAACATCCCCAGACACACCATTACTACGATTAACAATTTATTAACTTAGCCAGCAGGTCCAGCAGCCCCCATTATAACGAGCTACCTTCAACCCAATACACCTAGAATAGTCCCAAGAAAAGAAACTATGGAACTGGAATCAAGAGGCACTCCTCCATTAATGCCTCCAATGTAAGCTCAAGCCAAAATTGCTGCTGCCTTTTTCCAGCCGGTGTACCAAAACAAGTTCTAGCGACAAAAAACGGCAAAATGGAGGAGAACCCACAAAGCAAAAGAGACGCCTTTTGGTTATTCCACGCAAAAATGGCTAGCTGTAAAGAATTTCCAGCAGCCAGGTTGAGAATGAGAATTGCATATCTCAGTGCATTTAATAAACAATTTTTTTTGAACTAAGAAAACGTGTACTTACGAATTTTACAGAAAATTGCTCATCTTCCATCTTCAGTCTTTCATGCTTCTAAATTATCAGGCTGTTAAACGTGGATGGATAAATAGCCAAAGATGTTGGGCAATGATTTTAGGCAGTAAGGATTGGAGTGGGAGTAAGTGGAATCTCATACATTCTTCTGCAGCCTCCAAAGGCGAATACAAGAAGTAATCTGAGTACCGTAATACAGAAACCATGATGAAGCCGATGTGTCAACAAGCTTTCAGGGACTTTTTCTCTTTTTGACTTTTTCAAAGCAATCAACGATGAAAGAGTTTAGAGGCAATTTTATTTAGGGTTTTCTTTTTCTTTTTCCCAAAGTAACAGATTGTGAGTACTTGACTCAAAACCGGTCGATTAATTTTGGTTCAAAGTTTTAGAGGGTAGAGAAAACTTGTGTTAAACCAAACTAAGTTGAATTATTAGAAAATTAAAGTACAAATAATAACAAGACACTTGGCGCAATGTTAGAGGTGACATTGGGTTAACATAGAAAACATGTAACCGAGGATCCCAAGTGTCCCATCCTTCCTCCCTCCCTACTATCACCACCCCACTCCCACTGGCGCCAGAGCCTCCCTCCCACCTTTTTTGTCCTTTCTTTCCTCTCTCTCTCTTCTCCTCCCTCTTTCTTGGTCCTCCTCCCTCCCTCCCTCTTCCTTCTCTCCTCTCCTTCACCTCCTCCCCCTTTCCCACGCTACCCACCTCCCCTATTGGTCGAGCAACCAGACCTACAACTAGCTCTGATCACACAACTAGCAGGGGACGAGAAAGTGGGGAGGAGGAGGAAAGAGGAAGGAGGAGAGAGAAAGGAAGGAAAGAAAGGAAAAAAAAGTCTGTTGGTACCGATGGAGGTGTGTTTGGTGTGGTGATAGATTGAGGTGTGGGGAGAAAGAAGAAGAAAAAAGAAGGAAAAAATTTTTTCTGTGTATTTAGGTATTTGAGGTGTGTATTTAAAAAACTTTAGAGGATTTTTTGAAACTCAATACGCACCAGGGACGTGGGGGCAGGCGCAACAGTGATTTGGTACGGTTGGGTCCTGTTGTTAAGCTTCTTATACAACACGGTTTACTTTTTTTTTTTTTTGTCGACACAGGGGTGTCCGGGTCAATTCTTACGGGGCTTGACTAATCTCCTGCGGTCCGGGCCCGGCGTCCCAACCCGACCCGAACACGATAAGTGCGCGGAGGAATCCAGCAGAGCGGAGACTCGAACTTGAGACCTTAAGGGTCACCGGTGAGAGGCGCTACCGCTGGACCATTCACGCGGGGGCTATACAACACGGTTTACACTGAACACAAATTGTTGTATGATTCGTTCTAATGTAGCCATTTCATCGCTTTTATCTCTTTGCTCGCAACCACCGGCCATGGGTATTTTGGCCAATAAAAAATTAAAATTATAATATAAGAAGGGCAAAAAACTTGTGTATGTTTGGTCTATCATTAATTAATTCAATACTCAGAAAATCCTTTCTCTTTCTCTTTCAACTTTTTTCCCCGGGCCAAAACTCGGTCAAATTTTTTTTTTTTGTCAACTACGTCTAACCCTTTTGTCAAAATTTCCAAATCCCAACAATCTTTTATATTCTTTTCATTTATGTTGTTCCTTTTTTTTCTTTTTTTGGAGAGAGATGAGGGAGATTGTAGTTTTTATTTTTAGTTTCCTTTTAATTTGTTGCCTGCCAATGGACCCAACTGAAAATCTTCAAGAATGATGAACTCCTGACCTCCATCAGAGAAAATGGAGACTTGATCTAGAGTGCGCACCATCATGAGCCGCGAATCATCCTCATAAGATAGATGAAGACAACAGAGAGAGGTCAAAGATGAAGCCTTTTAGGCCATGAATCAAGAGGACACTGCTGTTGAAGTGGTCATTCCAATCTCGGTCACGAAGGCGAAGTTGCTGAGGAAAATGGGTGTTTGTCTTCCTTTCCCTATTCACGTGGCCATGACACTTGATTGTCTAATTGAGAGGTTTCGTGGCAGGAATCATTTTTTTTTTTTTTGGTCAAATGTCAACTTGTACATATATACACGTAATAAGTTATGGTTATATCTGCACAGCAGATTTACAAAAGACCGGCAACTGCCAGGAGGTCATTGTGGACCTCTTTATTAAGCCACACAGGGAAGGATTGCTTCCACCTAATTTCTTGAATCAAGTTAATAGCTAATTTAGCTAAACCATGGCTACACATGTTCATTTCTCTCCTAATGTGAAAGAAAGTGCATTGTCAAAAGGACCGACTCAACTGTCTGATGTCTTCAATTAGCATGTCCATTGAGGTTAGGCCTTGACATCCTGTATTGATTCTATTCACAACAGCTTTGCAGTCAGAAAGAATCAATAAGGATGTCATGTTTTCCTCTATGGCCTTGCCCAAGGCTGTTCGAATGGCTGTAGCCTCCATTTCTGCAGCATCTTTAGCTCCTGGATGTGGGATGGACGATGTTACATCTTTAGCCTCCCTGGACGATGTTACAAGCATCCGTGTCAGGAATCAACTTGATTCTCCATAGATCGTGGAAGACGAAGCATCAGGGATGCGTGCTTTTAGAAAATTACTAATTTCTATTTTCACCCCAATTTAGTAATGAAGCTTTGGTTTTTTTGTCCAGTTGAATATTTTTATTTTTTTCATTTTTATAGCCCACTTATAGCTGCCCCTACTTTTTGCGTCGGAAATATGAAAATGGGTGGCGCCGCCACGAAGGGATTTGATTGAATAATAAATAAAAATTGAAGGACTGAATTGGCCAAAAAAAATTATTAAGGATGAAATTGATTTTAGTGAAAAAGTTTAGGGACTAAATTGACAAATATTCCAAACCAATTTAGTAAGTTTATCTACTAGAATTTGAAACTCCATTTTACCCCTCTAACAATGGGAGATGTTTTGCAATGATGTTTATTAACAACACTAGTTTCATTATATGGAAAATTTGTGTTTTTTTTTGGTAGATTGCAACAAAGAATGTTCTTATTTTAGTGTAAGAAGTTTATTCATAGCTTATAATAATATAACAAAGTAAATTATTAAAGCAGCTTTCAAATTATTTTAATCGTTAACTTTTGATCACTCATCTATTTAAAGATTAAAATCAGATGGGCTTAAAAAAAACTCAAATTGAATGGAATAACAATTTTATTTGTCCTTGAAGCACCATTCTTTTGTCTACTACGTTGATCAATCCAAGGTTGGTGTGTTGGTCATATGCTCAATCTTCAATGAGATGTTAATGAGGTAAACTATTTGCAAGAAAAAAGTCATAAAGGAGACATTAATAGTTTAATACCACCTAATAAGTTCGAGCAGTTGACCATAATTTTCCCTCTAATGACAATAATAAAGGTAGTGCCAAATGTAGTAGGTAAGATCCAATCCTTGACACAGAGTACTTCCTAGTTCCTAATCAAATTCTCTATTTTGTTCCTTACAAAATAAATTCTCTTTTTGTCGCTAGCCACTCGAAAAAGAAGAAGAAGAAGAAGAATTTATTCCTTTCTTTTTTTTTTTTCTTCTTTTTATGCATTTTGCAACTAACATGTTGTCCAACGGTTTTGTCCTTCCCTCCCATATTCTCTCCTCCTCTCTCTGTTTCTGTTTCCGCGTCACAGCTCTTCACATTCTCATCATTCTTCAATTTTCGATTGACCCCATTTTCTGTCTTCGATTATTTCCCACATTTCAATTTTTAAAAGCTCTCAAGAATCCAAAATCAACATTTTATCGGACCACGTTTTTTCTTGCCATACCCAAAAAATAATTAAAAAAAAACAGAATGGCAACTATGGAGAGCTTGATTGGGTTAGTGAACAATATCCAAAGAGCCTGCACTGTATTAGGTGATCATGGTGGTGGCAGTGAAGGCATGTCCCTTTGGGAAGCTCTTCCTTCTGTAGCTGTTGTTGGTGGCCAGGTCACATTCATTTTTCTCATCATTTTAATCCCATTCTTGATTCTTTTTGAGTTCTTTTGTGATGCTTTTTATTAATCGTATTGACCGAATTTGTGATTTTTTTTATCTGGGATTTGTTGGAAATGAATCAGAGTTCGGGTAAATCATCGGTACTTGAAAGTATTGTTGGGAGAGATTTTCTGCCTCGTGGATCTGGTATGCTTCTCGGCTGCTGTTTGATTTTTTTGCTAGTCCTTTTTGGTGTATAATCGTAATGATTTATTCTGCATTATGTATTTTGTTGAAATTGATATCATTGAGTCTTTGGGATCATTATTAGGATCTGTAAGCAAAATTAACATTAGCTTGAGAGAATTTGTGAAATATGGAGCTCATGGATGTCTTATATTGGTGGCCAATTGTGTTTACTTTTTTATGAAATGTACACGAAAAAATTGTATATTAACAGTACATTTTGCACTAAAATCTTACAAATCCACTCATGATAAATAACTAAAATTGGTATTTGCAATTTAGATTCCAATTTTATGCGCTATATATGAAGTATAATACTTACTTCTGAGACAGAATTTTCTTTTGGAAAAGGAGTTATGGAGTTTAATGTTAAGCCATCATCCATCTCTTCTTGATTTGCAAGTTTTGAGCCATCATCCATCTCTTTTTGATTGCAAGTTTCCGTACATTATGTGTTATCCTTTCCTAATATTTGTCCTGCTAAATTTGAAGGTATTGTCACTAGGAGGCCTTTGGTATTGCAACTTCATAAGATAGAAGGACAGTCCGAATATGCTGAATTTCTCCATGCACCAAAGAAGAGATTTAATGACTTTGGTAAACCCAAAGCTAATACCCATCTCCAGGATCTTCCAGTTTCTTTGACCAGATTGATGTTTTGTAATTTAATTGGCCATTTCCATTGTTTGGTTATCCTTGAGATGTTTATTTCCCTATATGGCTCTCTCAATAATATTGGTAAAGTTTTTTGTTATATTTAGTCTAGTGCTTCTTTGAATTCTAAAATGGTCATTCTTTTATTCCTATGTTGGGAATGGGTGCACGAAATGTGTTCAAGCATTGCAAGAAATGATCTTGATCACAGATTTATGGTGATTTTATTTGTCTAATTCTTTTTATGTTGCATGTTAGTGTCTGGTATTGTTTTGAGATTCAACATCAGATGATATTTAGAATAAAGTGATCATGTTGTTACAAATCTTTGTCATATTCTAGACATTGGAGGGGAAGGCCTAAGATATTTTTTGTCCTCCAAAAATTTGAGGGGAGAACTAATCAAAATATGTAAGGTACTTGTAGGAAGATGATACATAGTGCCAAAATCTTTGGTATATATATTCCTTGTTTTTTGTTCTATTGCATGAACTGTCGTAGTGGATGTCTAAGTGTCTTAACCTCACATTTTGCAGTATAACACCTCTCTTCTATTTGGTCATTACTGAAATTTCACTCAGGATTTGGAAGCTAAATTTGGCTAACAATGGGACCTATTCAGGATTATACAAATTTTCTTGGAGTTTTATATTTAAAGAAGACGGTAAATGTATTAGCTGGGGAATGAAAGGTAAAATTTCAGGCTTAGAACATAGATTAAAATTTGCATAGAACTAAGCACTTGACTGATTGTAGGCCATGGACAGAGTTGAATAGAAGAAGAGAATCCTTTTGATCAGACATGGGTAACGTCAATTATGTTGTCTTTACGAGAGTTAATTCAGCCTATAGATGCCTTGTGGTTGTGATAGATTGATCATCCAACTAAATGTCAAAATATATTTGTTTCATTATACGAGAATAGTAAGTTGCACACACTTATGCTTCCTGATAATCATGCAGACAATTCAAGACTGTCTTTCCCTTTTTTTTCCTTTTCAAAAGCTTTAGTTGTCACGATATCTGTATTATGAGATAGCTGCCATGTTAATGCAACCTGGGATGCTGCCTAATCTACCCTTGCATCACATCTGTCTATATGCAAGAGTGAGATACATGTCACTTATTGGTGGGCATCGTGTTCTTGTTGCAGCTGCTGTGCGCAAAGAGATTGCAGATGAGACAGACCGCATAACAGGGAAGTCTAAACAAATTTCTAACGTTCCAATTCACCTCAGCGTTTATTCTCCACAAGGTTTGTCTTCAGGCTTCTGCATTTATCCCTTCATTTTGGTCACAATCTACAGCTGCAAGAATACTGAACAAAAGCTTCCTTCATGTTGCCTTGTAACTTCTGTGATAAATTGTCAATCCCATAAAAAAGAGCTTTTTCTCTTTGTTTTTGTTGTTCCCTCTTTTGTCAAGCTTGAACCTAAAAAAAAAGGAGTGTTAATGTGTGCTTGGATAAGTTGAGAACAATTAGCAAACAAATAGCAGCAATTGTGTGGATTGTATTAAGTTTTACATGCATTTGTTGGCATTGTCCATTGAGAGGTTAGAGTGTATGTAGCACAAAATTTCACTACGAAGATGGAAGTGTTGCGCTAGAAGTAAAATCATAAGTAGTGCATATAAACATTGTAAAATCCTAGGTCCTAGGTGTAGTATCAATTATTAAGGCTAAGTTAAGCTAGTCAAATTTGATTTTAAGGAACATGCTGTATGAATTACTTTCTGACAGAACACGAGTTCCAAGACTTGATGAAGTATTTGCAATGGACCATCTTGTGTCACTAATTTTTTTTATTTTTTAAGAATCTCTTATAGTCGATGATTCCTCAGTGTCACATCGTGTAACATAGTTTGTGGTACAGTCTCTGTCTCACTCTGAAATTCTTTTACGTTTCTGTTGTTCCATGATTCCTCAATGCGACATCCTATAATCTAGTTTGCAGTATGTTGTCTGTCTCGCTTTGAAATTCTTTTATTTTGCTGTTTCCTTTGCTATTTTAAAGCATACTTTTCTAAGATCCATGTTTTGTCTTACAGTTGTCGACTTAACCCTCATAGATCTTCCTGGGTTGACAAAGGTTGCTGTAGGTGAGAACCAAACACTTTTGCTTTAGGCACAGTTACGCTCTCAGACATTTGATGCACAACTTAACTGACATAATAAGTATTGACAGATTTTTGAAATCTTGCAGAGGGACAGCCAGACAGTATTGTTCAGGATATTGAAATGATGGTTCGCTCTTATGTTGAGAAGGTAAGGATGGTGTCCAACCTGCAACACCTATCAGTTTGGGCATTACAGTTGATTAAGTTTGAAATGATATTTTGGTTATTTTTTCTTAAATGATTTCAGAACTAAGAGATATTAAGATTTTATTTGGAGGATATTCTTGTGCACCATCATTAACCTGGTTGAGAGCCACTGACATTCTCACTTTGTCTCTATAAAGGTCAAAAATTTTCACTTTTTAGTTCAACTAGTGAAATATTCCTAGAGCCTGTAAAAAATGTCCAATGATGTACAAACATCCTTGTTATTTGTTTTTGGCTGTCAAACTTGAAGAAATTCGCAACCACTATCCTAACCAATAAGATAACATTCTGTAGGAAGTGAAGTGAATTTAGCAAGTGTCTACTTAGTTAGAGAAGTGTTTCTAATACTCTAGTC